GGCTCAACGAAACAGGCGTTTTGCAAAAGGCAACTTTGGCGATTTTCTGTGCTCGGAGCAACCCGTAGAAAAATCTGAATTTTTGAGAATCCATAGACGAGATCGTGTTCTTTATAGGAAAAACATATGAATATTTAAAAAATATCTACGCAGCATAGGTTATCCGGATGATTAAAAAAAAGGTAAAAAAAAAGCAAAAAAAAAAAAAAAAAAAAAGTGATATTGCGCATGCAAAATACAATAGAACTACATTCCTATTTCATGAAAAGCTTGATAGGGCATTGAAGGGTTCAAACTTCAAAGGGGGCAAGATAGGGAATAAAGGGGTTTAGAGGGGGGATGCTTAATTCATTCTATAATTTTTTATCTAAATATTATTTTTTTATTCTGTTATTTTTTTTATCATTATATCTGTTGAGATATCAAAGATGACCTCAAGCCAAACGTTGTTGGTATCATTCATATGAACAACATACTTTTTTTCCAGATTTTTTTGAATTTTGTTTTTTTGGGAAAAAAAAATATTTTGCTCAGGTACGGATTTTCCATATCCGGGATTAACCCGGAAAATTCATCCGGATTAAAATCTCCAGATAAAATTGGTCTGCCGAATATTCGGATTTGCTACCTAGAAAAAAATTATTTAGACTGAGAAATAATTGTCACTCCGATTCGGCACATTTTCCATTTTTCCCACTCAGCTATGTGTGGGCAAACTATAAAAGTATTCGAAATTCAGTGAGTTTTCATTATGAAAAGAATGCGTGAAAAAACCTGAAAATTGGAGTACTCATAAATTTTATTGTGATCTTTCCAGCAAAAACGCTAAATAAATTAAAAAAAAGTATTCCTACTACAAAATAGATCGCGACCGCAATTTGACCCATATTTCAATTTTGCCATTTAGCGTCTCTCTCTGTCTCTCTCTCTCTCTCTTTCTTGTGAGAGCTCTTAGTCTCATTGATTCTGCGTTCCCCGTGCCCATGTGGTAGACAATTTGGGGTACTTTTTTGGTTGGCCCACACATGGCTGAGTGGCAAAAATGGAAAATGTGTCGAATCGACGTGAGTCACGCGACGATCATTTCGCAGTCTAAATTATTTTTTGAAAATGTTATAATATTATTCCTGGAAAGATCACAATAAAATCTACGAGTACTCCAATTTTCAGGTTTTTTCACGCATTCTTCTAAGGGTGAAAACTCGCTGAATTCGCAACCCTAAGGCTGTGGTATAGTGGGGTTCAACATCTGTGTCAACGTTTCCCGTTTTCGGCGGCGGGCGACCAGGACGGAAAGTGGGTTCTTAGGGGGCAAAATTAAATTGGGGACCGGTCTTTGGCAAAATTGCGGACTACCTATAATCAGCTATGGTAGAAGCGGGACTTTTGGAAAAAGGAAGGACCGGTCCTTGAGTACAAGCGGACCCCAAAAAGGAGTGGGGGGCGTTGGACGGGTGCATGGGTAGAAGCAGACCCTAAAACGAAGTGAGGGCATGAGAACTGCAAAAGGGCCCTCAGGCCCAGGCGTTGAGGCCCGTCTTCTCAAAACTGGGAAGTCAGGCGCAACGAAACAGGTATTTTGCAAGAGGCAACTTCGGCGATTTTCTGTGCTCGAAGGAACCTGCAGAAAAAATCTGAAATTTTGAGAATCCGTAAATGAGGTTGTGTTCTTTCTAAAAAAAAATCATTTAAACAGAGAAATAATTGTCGAGCCGTTTCAACACATTTTCTATTTTGGCCACTCAGCCGTTTTTGGGCCAACTGAAAAAGTACTCCAAATTTAGTGAGTTTTCATTCTGAAAAAAATACGTGAAAAAAACTAACAATTGGAGTACTCGTAGATTTTGTTGTGATTTTTTCAGGAAAAACACTAAATAAATTTAAAAATAAACATTCCAACGGCGAAATAAATCGCTGCCGCAATTTAACCCATATTTCATTTTGCCATTCAACCTCTCTTTCTCTCTCTGGTATGCCCCCCCCCCCTCTCCCTCTCTCTCTATCTCTTTTCCTTTCTGTCTCTCTCTTTCTTTATCGCTCTCTCTTTCTTTATCGCTCTCTCTCTCTCACTCGTATCAACAAATGGAACAAAACTCTCTCTCTCTCTCTCTCCCTCTCTCTCTTGTGCGAGAGCTCATAGTCTCATTGATTTGGCTACATTAGGGCTGCATTCCCCCAGCTCACACGGTAGACAATTTGGAATACTTTTTTTGTTGACCCACACGTGGCTGAGTGACAAAAATGGAAAATGTGTAGAATCGAGGCGATGATTATTTTGCAGTTAATTTTATTTTTTTTAATGTAATAATCTAGGCTACCAGAGTGGTCCTGGGTCACTTGCCCGGCCGGGAAAAAAAAAAAAACAAAAAAAAAACAAATTGATTTTTTTTTTTTTTTTTTTAATTTGGTGAAGAATGTCGATGTGACCCTGAGGCAAACGTTGTTCAATTTAATTTTCTGCATAACATAGTTATATTTCAAAATTTTTGGATTTGTGTTTTTTTTTTTTTTTTTGCTAGGACCTTACCTGATCCTTGCACGGGCTGGCCACCCGGGATCCGGGCGGCCCGGCTGGTAGCCTAGGTAATAATATTATTATTGGAAAGAACACTACCTCATCTATGGATTATCAAAATTTTGGATTGTTCTGCAGGTTCGTCCGAGCACAGAAAATCGAGAAAGTTGCCTTTTGCAAAACGCCTGTTTCTCACCAGCGGTTATCGGGTAGCTGAATATTCAGGAATGAAAATTCAGAAGTGAGAGTTTTTGGCAGTCTGAAAATGTTGAATGATCTTGAAGTGGTGAAAGGTCCGAAGACCTTGAAAACCATCTGTTTAGGAAGACTGCATCCTGAAGTGGTGAAGGGTGTCCTGAAGTGGTTAAGTGAGAGTTTTGGGCAGTTGGAAAATCTAGAATGGTCCTGAAGTGCTGAAAGGTTCGAAGACCATGAAAACCACTTGTTTAGGCACGTTGGATCCTGAAGTAGTGAAGGACGTTCTGAAGCGGTGATGAAAAATACGACTGTTGTTAACCTTCTCTCCTTTTTCGTTGTGCCTGACTTCCCTGTCTTGAGAAGACGGCCCTGAACGCCCGGGCCTGAGGGCCGGAGGACCGGTCCAACGTCCCTCACTTCTTTTTGAGGTCCACTTTCAACCGAGGACCGGTCTTTTATTTTTCCAGAAGTCCTAGTTCTACCAGAGCTAGTTGTAGGTAGTCTACAATTTTGCCAAGGATCGGTCCCCTAAATTTTTTTTGCCCCCTAAAAACCCACTTTGCATCCTGGTCGTCCGCCGCCAAAAATGCGACACCTTTACACAGATGTCGAAACCCACTATACCGCAGCCTTAGGGCTGCAAACAAAGTGGGTTCTTAAGGGGCAATAAAAATTGGGGGACAGTCCTTAGCAAAATTGCGGGCTACCTATAACTAGCTCGGGTAGAACCAGGACTTTTAGAAAAAGGGAGGACCGGTCCTTGGATAGAAGTGGATCCCAAAAAGAAGTGGGGGCGTTGGACCAGTGTTCGGAAGGAAACGGACCCCAAAAAGAAGTGAGGGCATGTGAACTGCAAAAGGACCCTCAAGCCCAGGCATTGAGGCCCGTTTTCTCCGAATTGGGAGGTCAGGCGCAACGAAATATGCGTTTTGCAAGAGGCAACTTTGGTGATTTTTTGTGTTAGGACGAACCCGCAAAAAAATATGAAATTTTGAGAATCCATAGATGCGGTGGTTTTCTTTCCAAGAAAAATATTAACAAATTTTCAAAAAATCATTTGGATCATGAAGTTATTGTTATGCTGATTCGGCACATTTTCCATTTTTGTCACTCTTCCATATGTGGACCAACTAAAAATATACTCAAAATTCAGTGAGTTTTCGCGCTCAGAAGAATGAGTGAAAAAACCTGAAAATTGGTGTACCCGTAGATTTTGTTGTGATCTTTCCAAGAAAAAGGTTAAATAAATTTAAAAAAATCATTCTTGCTGTGAAAATATATTGTGTCCACAATGTGACCCATATTTCAATTTTGCCATCCAGTCTCCTCTTTCTCTCTCTCTCTCTCTCTCTCTCTCTCTCTCTCTCTCTCTTGAGTGCGCCCTTAGTCCCATCGCTTTGGCTACCTTAGGGCTACGTTCCCCGCGCCCACGCGGTAGTCAATGTGTGTGTGTGTGTGTGTTTGTGTGTGTGTGTGTGTGTGTGTGTGTGTGTGAGAGAGAGAGAGAGAGAGAGAGAGAGATGTCAGTTGGGGGGCAGACAACGGGCAGATGTGTTAGAATCAGGCGCTGATTGATTCCAGATCTAGGCACATCTACTGCAAGTGTCGTCTCGACCTGCATCGAGGAACACTTTCTGGAACCACGGGCAGTTGCCCTTTCCTGCGCGCTTTCGGACTTCTCCTCTTCCCTGACTTGGTGCCTCTGCCCCCACGCTGTTTCCATTTCAAAATTTACAACTGAAGGACTGCTCAAGGATTGCGGGCTCCTGAGGGCAGTTACTGAGTTCCTTATGCACCCGTTCACGGCTACCTGGGCCACGGGCCTAACATATCCAATTGACTTACGGTGAGGGCACAGGTGCGCAACCCGTAGTTTGTATATGCTTGATTGATAAAGGACGCCTTATTGGTGAGGTTTAGAAGTAGGGTGATTGTTGCATTAAAAAAAAAGGAGTATTTGTGTGTATGTGTTGAGATTAGTGTGTGTGTGTTTTGTGTGATTCTTAGGGTGTTTGGTTTTATCGCATTTGTTAGTGTTGGAACGTGTGGGATTTAGGTAATTTGTATGACATTAGTGTATTAGGTATTTGACATACCTTGATTCATAGTTCGAGTCGAGGCTGGTGGTCCTTGAATCTTGGTCCATATGTCGTATATGGGCGTCGTTCGACACTCCTCATCGCGTCCTCGGGCTCCGAGGACGAATCCTCGAAGTTTTTTATTTTTATTTTTGGAGGTGTTGTTCCACCTGTCCTTGGAGAATCGCCCCGAGGACGAATCCTCGGGGCCCCTCCCGCGACCAGTTTCATTAGATTATACACGACCGCGAGGGGATTGTCCGACCTCCGATTCGGGATGTGCGTGTAGGAGGCATGCCGGTCCAGCAGGCGGACGACGGCAATACGTCACGGACCCTGGAAAAGAAAATCGCCAAAGCGGGAATGGTTCCGTTCAAAATTCGAAATTCGAATTTGCGTCTTGCGGAGCGATGGAGTGGCGGCACACAGGACGGTAGGCGAGGGGGGCGGTGCACGCCTCGTAGGGTTTCGGTTGCCATCGCGTTGCGTACTTTAGTGGCGCTTCACCGCCACTGTCTCAAGTGTGGTTGACGCAGTGAAACAAAGAGGGGTATCCGCAGTTGCGCTCGCCACGTGGAGGCGCTCGGCGGTTCCGTACTTCAGCGGAGGTGGGCGGACGCTCCAATCGGGTTGGAACATCGTTGAGCACTGTTGTCTTCCTGACCTGATTGCAAGCGTCTTCAATCGTGGTGGCAGACATAGACACAGCCGGGTGGTGGTGGACGTTGTTTTTCTTGCAGGAAGGGCGGAATGGAGGGCTGCGATGGGGATGGCCGTGCTGTGCTGTCGAGGACGGAGAAGACAACTATTGCGGCGGTTGCGGTTGCCATTGTTCGTCGATTCCAAGTCGAGAGGGCGGCTGGGTGCATGAAGGCAACGCTTTCGAGGCGGCGGCAGAGGCTTTTGCTGCAGAGGGTGTTGGACGCTTCGGACTGCATTACTACTTCGGAGGCCATGGTTCAGCTGTGCGCTGCAATCGGGTGCGGTGTGCTTCCTCGGGCGACGCCACGTTGGTGGATGAGGCGGAGAGCTGGCGGGACTTGGGAGGATTTGCGGGTGTGCGATGACGTGACATACGACTTCTTCCGGGGAAAGCTCCGCATCTCCAGGAGAGTGTTCATGGAGATTACCGAAGCCTATGCGGCTCATTTGCAATGAGAGGTGACGTTTTACAAAAAGCCACTTCAGCCGAAGTAGATCGCCTCGTACGCGCTGTGCAGGAGAGTCGTACGACAATAGCACATCATCCTTCCTCATGGGCAGGGGTTCCGGAGTTCGAGCCGTGCGCAATGTGACAACCGCTTTGTTGAGGGTGTACGGGGATAAGATATCGTGGCCGACAGGGGTTTGGAAACACGTTGTGGTACAGGCGTTTATAGGCGTTTCTGGACAAGGGTTTTCCCAATTGCCATGGCGCAGTTGACTGCACATACATCTACGTGGACAAATTGGCGAACGCACCGAGCGAGAACTACTTCGACCTCAAGCACCATTTCTCTGTTATTGCGTAGGTGGTGGTGGACCTGGATCTGCCCGTGCTTGACGTGTTCGTTGGATATCCAGGGAACTGCCACGACATTAGGGTGATCCAACTGTCAAGTTTGTCCGGGCTTGCAGTAGACGGAATGTTGTTTCGTGGGCCGCCTGTCATGCTCCTAGGAGGGGTGAGCACGAACGGATACATCTTGGGCGACAACGGGTATCCTCCTTCTGAATGGGTGGTGGTTCCATATGGAGGAATCAATCAGCACCCAGACGAGGAAAAGTTCGGCACGAAGCAGAAGGTCGCAAGCGGGGCTGTGGAGAGGGCGTTCGGGAGGTTGAAGGGGATGTGGAGGCTCTTCCTGCGGACGCACAAGACGAACCTCGACACTCTACCGCAACAGTTCACAGCCGTCTCCATTCTCCACAACATCCTGCTCGATACTGGTATCGAGTTCGAGGAGAATCTGTTATGGGAGGTCGATGAGAATGGGGTGAGGCGCCGACTGGACCTGGGGATTCATCATCCCCCGCAGCTAGTGACGATGTTGACTTCGACGCACGCGGCCCACGCACTCCACAATAAGTTAGCGGAGCGAATGAAACACATGCGATCCTGCCTACCGCCTGCCTATTTCTCTCGTAGAAGACTTCTTCGTTGACCTCGTGTTCCGCCGTCGTCGATTCACAACGCTTGCGTCTTTCGCTTACGCACACAATTGCTTTAGAGGGTTTGCCGTCGCGGGCGGGTTGTTTTTAGGTGTTTGTTGTTGTAGTCGACAGTAGACTGCTTGTCCAGTTCGTCGATCATTGGCAGTGACGCGGCTTCATTGTCGTTGTAGTCGCCTCAACGGTAGTGTGGTTGTTGTTTCTGTCTTCCTTGTTGCTGTAGTGGGGTGGGGGAAAGGCGGGAGGTGAAGGGCGACACGAAGCACATCGTCAGCCCGCTGTTTTGCATGCGCTTTACAACGATGTTTCTCTTCAAATTCAACGATATATGCTTTTTATGATGTTTGTGTAAGGACGTCTTCGTGCGTCCGACTGCTATCCTTTTTTCGGGAACACATGTTTTTATTGAGTACATGAAACGTCTGTCATGTATGTCGTCTGCATTTTTGTGCGTTTGCTAAAGTCAGTCGGTGAAGCTTCGTTCTTCCACTAACGACTTACATGCAGTAAATAAAAAATTTAAAGAGAAACAGACGACAGATTGGTTATGTCGGCAACTGCACAGTGACCTTCCTTTGATTTTTTTTATTTTTATTTTTTTTTTGCTTCCGTACGGTGCCGACGATCATCGTTCCTTCCTGTTTTCATTGTTTTCTTTTGTTTTCTCAGGAGCCAGTGATGATAACGATGGCGCGCTTCCTAAGATCAAATGAACGGCCGCAGACATAAGAAGACGTGGACGAGAATGCGATGGCCATTAACGCATGCGTCACATGATAAACCCACATAGAAGAAAAAAAAAACACTATTGCGTGAGCAATCGTAAGCATTCACACATACGCCGTCGACACAGAAACATAAATATGAGGAAATTCATTCAATAGCACAACAATGTTCAGGCGACGATCCACTTTTCTCCTAACTATCCACCCTCCAAACGACCCACACAAAAGACGGAGGTGTCGTCCACTGAGCTAAGATACCTTTTTGTGGAGCAAAACTGTAAAGTGTGCTCCAATAAAAAAAAAAAAAAAAAAAAAAACCGTTCACAACACATTTACTTCGACCCCATCTGCTGACGTCGCCACGCCGTTGGACAGCGCACCTTCCCCCCGCTCTACCACCAACACCCATCCCGCCTGTGCACTAACGTGTGCTGTTGTAGGCGCACAGTTCGTCGTTTCCTGATCCCACGCGCCAATCCGTTGACGATCCGCACCCCGCCGCTGCCTTACGGACAAACCCACGTGTCAACCGCCCTCATCTCCATCGTCGTCCGCCGCGGGCCCGCTGCTGATCCAGCTGTGTTTTGCGGCTTCTGCTGCATTCTTCACGGCCGCGTTGTGCCCGAACACAAACCGCAATCATACCATTCCGGAATGCAATGCGGATAATCTCCGAATGTCAGGTGGGCCTTCCCTAGACGATCCAAGACGAGATTGGCTGTGTCGATGATGTGTCGCCGCCAGTTGAGGATGTAGGACCCCGTTGCTATCATTGTGGGTTTGGCGAGTTTTGGTTGTCATCAAGCTGATCGTGGAGCTCTAGTTGCTGCAGCAGTTGGTAAATTTCCATCTCCTGCTGATGTGTTCTGGCTGCTAAAAATTTAGAATAATCTTGAGATTTCTTACCCAGGTAAAAAAGTCCGTTGTTGAACCAATCGACTGCCTGCTGGAAGTGCTGCTTTTGCATGTGCCAGTACTTCCAGCAGTCCGTGATATAACTTTCAAAGGCTTTCTGTTGGAGGATACAGGTATTAAGTTTGTAAAAGCCCGGTCCCGGGTCGGGTTTCTTTCGAAAGGACAGAATGGTCGTGCACATTTTGTGATCAAGTCCCTGGTATGGGCTTGCATGCAAGATTGCTGCCAGAAGCAGGGATCCTTCCATGTCTTCGGAGATTAGAATCAGGTCGATTCTTGATCTCGCTTGATTTTCAGTGCCCGTGTTCCGTAAACATGAAAATTGTCTGGACCTTGGCATATCACACCCGTGAGACCTGCTGGCTGTTTTTGGAAGGGCCCAACCATCTCCAAGGGTCTGTGCCGGCAGGCATTTCTGGTGCGAGTCTGGCGAGCTGCTCTAAGGCCAACGATTCCCATGGGAGGCCTGATGAGCATGTTAACCGTTTTAGCTATTGCAGTGAGAGAGCCACAACCTGTGTTTCAGGGTCCAGAATTCCTAGCCCCCCTTGCAGCCTCTGTTGCACCTCTCAGTCCCAGGCTACCCTGTTGAACACCTGGGGTGCTTCGTGATTGCAGCGCCAGAGGAAGACCACCAGCTGCTGTCTTACACCCCTTGCAGCCAAGCGGCTCAGTGGCCAAATAGCTGGTTTGTATTACAGGATCATCAGCTCCACATATCTCATGGCCAGGGCCCTTCCAAAGATAGAAGTGCGCTTGTCCTGCCAGTCTTTCAGCTTTTCCATAGCCCGGATCATGACCCATGCATCGTTTGTTGATGGTTTGCCCATAGCCGAAAACCGACCACCTAAAATGTGAACAGAGGCTTCAACGGATTGCCATGACACTGGTGGGTTCTCTGGCGATCCTTCCCCGTCATGGTGCATCCACCAACCCAGCATTTTCCTACCCTAGTTTACTGCCATATCCGACACCAAGCAAAACCTGTCCATAAAAGACTTGATCTCCTACTTTTTCGGGTTGTAGCCCCCATCATGATGGTCAGATCGTCAGCAAACATCGAGCTTACTCGAATGGCCTCCTCCGGGATGGAGGAGACCCGTGGCTTCTGAATGTTTTTGTTTGATGTCCATGCTTGTATGAAAAGACACAAGCTATGCATTATGCTAACTTGATTGTTGCGAAATTCTAACCCCTTCAAAGCAAAATATTTCTTTTCTTTTTTTTGCAATATATTTGGTTTTGAAAGTTTGCTCACTTCGTTCAAATTGCATAAATGAACAGTTTGTCAGAACTTTCCCATTTGTTTCGTGCAGGCATTTTTCGCACCGCCCACACCGTCGGCGCTAAGCTAATCAACATCAAATAGGAATGGAAACCACACGCAGAAGCAGGTGCAAAGATGAAGACAGTGTGGCAAGGGATGATGATGGGAAAAAAAATGAGGCCAGGGAAATATCTGAATCTAGCTTCGGAAATGTGGGAGGCTCCATGAAGATGGAGGAATGAATATTATGGGTGCCCCTCGTGCAGTCTATCATACAACTTCACTGGTGTTTCCTTCTTGAAACCTTACTGCCACAATTCCTAGTGCAGCATGGATGGTTTTCACTCCTTGTTTATCTTGATCAATGATTTTTTTCCCTCCATTTTTCCCAGAAGCTTCGGAATCCTCAATTCTGGTATCACTGTTTTTCTTTTTCAACATACTGAGAAGTGATCGCCAAGCCGCTCTCCAAGAAACACTTCCACCTCTGAGCGCTTTTAAAAACGGCTGCATTTGCACAATCATCGATCTTGCACCACCAATGTGGTAGGCAGCTCTGCCATTTTTAGCCATGTCTTGACCTCTAGTTTCTATATCTACTGGAACACGGAGGACTCACATATAACTGAGGACAGCAAAGAAAGGACCCATTGTCAATGCGACCCAGCGGATGATGACCACCACATAGAGTAGTTGCACGCCAAGTAGCCTACCACCACCCCCATGGAATGCTCCATAGTACTTGACCTGTTCTCGGGGAGCAAGCGAAGTCGCCATCTTCTCTTTGCCCGCAAATAGCCCAACAGCGACTAAGCCCAAGTCCCGCATTCACCGTGTAGAGGGGCTGCGTCAACTGAATCATCAGTTATCGCCTTCGGGAGCAACCAGCTAGCCAGCAAGTATACAAGTCCGACCATGCTACCGATAATGAATGCCTCTCATGGTTCAATCACAGCACAACTTGTTGTGACAGAGATCAGCCCCCCTAACGTACCATTCCAGACAAACATGACATCCCATGTGCCTTCAATTAGTCGCTTAAGGAAAAAAGCGCCTACACCCCCTGATGCTGCCCCAAGTGTTGTCACAACAGCTATTCGCCCAACCACGTGCTCCATCCCTACAATGCCTATGGTTGAACCAAGGTTGAATCCATAGCAACGGAACCAAGGGAGGAATGTTCCAAGTACTACCAGAGATGCGGAATGACCACTTATTTCCAATGCCGCTCCGTTTGTATTAAATCGCCCAATCCGTGGTCCAACAAGGTATGCACCCCAGAGGGCAGCACTGCCCCCCAACCAAGTGAACAACCCCGCATCCTGAATAGTATAGGACCCCTACTCCTCCAAATGCTGGATCGGTTGGACTCTTTCCGGAATAGGAAAGCCATTCAATAAATGACGACCGCTCCTCCATTGCCCCACTTATGATTGTTGTTGCTGTTGCTGCAAATGTCCACTGAAACAACCAGTAGCCATAGTTGTTGTAGTCGTGGAGGGCAAAACGATCTGATCCAATGAAACCATTCGAAGTCCCTTCTCCATAGGCAAAGGCAAAGCCAAAGAAGTATCATGCAATGCAACCCACACGTGCATCTAGAAGGTTCTTAAGCAGAATGTTGATGGTGTTCTTCTAACGCACTGATTCGGCACAAAGCATGGCAAATCCTGCCTGCATGAAAAAAACTAAGGATGCTGAAAAAAGAATGAAGGAGGCATTGATACTCGGTCCGATGTAGCGGTCAAAATGGTCCCCGATATAGCCACAAATGGCACTAGCGACTAGGGTGAAATTCAGCCCTGTCACATTCTGCAGCCCCGCATCGACTAGGTCTGCCCCGAGTTTTGCACACACTTTAGATTTTGAAGGAGATATTTGCAAAAGCTATATTCACCAACTAACACCAAGTGAAGACTGCCAGAAAACCTTCTTTATACTTTCATAATGAATGCTCAAGATCCATGAACAGTTTCTTGACCAGTATTCTTGATGCGGTTATGACCCTTAACTAGCCGACCAACTTCAGCTTGTTGCAGATGGCAGGACTGTCGGATCAAGTCCCGATGCTTCAGGTCGGTTCGTGCCGGCGTTTATAGTGTTGTACACTGATCACTCTCTCAATGTAGCAGTCGCACCCGTCGGTAAAGTCTCTATTGTCATCATCGTATCGAGTTGATAAGTTTTTATTATGAATTCTGAACTAGAACTTCGAGCTCTGCAGGTTCGTGCCATCCAATCAAGCTGGTCGTTAACATTCAACTTCCTCCAGAAGAGGATAACAAAAACATCAAATAAATATTGCATCGATGCAATGTTGAAGTGAGTTCAAAACCAGGGCTGGTCCGAAAACCAGCCGGTTGACTCACCCCGGTCCACCCGGATCCGGATCAGTGGGGGGGGGGGGGGCAACCGGAAAACCTTCAATTTTTTTTTTTTTATTTTGAAATCGGGATTGGACTGCGCTCATTGAGATCTGTCGTTTTCCATTGAGAAACTTTGAAACTTCAATTTTTTTTGGGGGGAGAGGGAGGGGGAGGGGGGGGTTGGGGGGGAGGAAGGATTCATGGGGTGATGGTTCCCTTTCAAGTTCCAACCTTTCACATTGGCTTAATGGGGGGGGTCTCGAGTGGCAGGCCCTGAAGCAGCAGCATACATTTCATACAGAATACCAGACCAGCAACAGTGTGAGTGAGACGAATGCAAAGAAGACAACGATGATGAAAAGAAGTTCAAGAAGAAGAAGAACAACAACAAAAAGAGGACAAAAAATTGACAACATTGAGCAGGGACTTTCAAATTCCTAAGTCCACGATCTGCAGTAGTTTCAAGTGTCTGCAACAGCTCTCTCTCTCTCTCTCTCACTCACACACACACATACACACACACACACACACACACACACACACGGACTCATTCGGAATCCCCTTGGTCCATCCAATCCTCGGGCGACTCCACACCTCCCTCATCCGAAGAGTGGTCATCCTCGACGACTTCGACTTTGCGGCGCCCGCCTGGACGACACTGTTTCATTTTTCGAGCATTGTCACCCGTTTTTGGGTTGGGGGGCCTGCCTCGACCTCGGCAAGGCTTTGCAGGGACGTCATCCACCGGAGCTTTCCTCTTTCGCCCCGTCCTGCTTTTCCAAAGATTATCATGCTGGGCATCCTCGTTCTGTGCAGGGTATGCTGGTTTGACAATGAGGTGTGTGCTACTCGGACTGGTGCTTGTAGTTCCTGCCGCTTTTCCCCAGCCACAACCTGCTGATCCTCGTGCTCCTCTAGCGCTGCAGGCAGCTGCAGTGCAGGGGGCCGGAGTCTTCGTGTGTACACCGTGGGTGGTGGTTGCTGCAGCTCTTCTCCGTTTCCTTCCATTTGCTCTCCCGCAGCCTCCGTCAAGTGAACTCCCTCCTGCTGCAAATTTGTTGCTTCTTCATGTTCCTCATTTTTTTCCTGCTGCTGTTTTTCTCCCTCGACTCCTTAAACGTCCTCTCCAACAATCTACGAACAACCTTTATGTCGTGCATGCGCATCCGCCTCCTTTTCCACATTGTCGATCACGTGATGTGTGCGTTGTTTCTCAACCTGGGTTGTTTGTCTCTGTCTTTCCCTTCGTGTCGGGACAACAGCACGCCGAGCCTCCTCCTCCTGCATATGCTTCTGAACAAGAGCAACATCTTTGTCCGCCACGGCTTTTGCCCGCGCTGCTTCCTCTTCGTCTGCGTCAAGCGGCGGGTCATGTGCGTCACTCGCTGGGTTAACTGCATCAGACACCGTGTGTGTCAAGAACTCAATGTCTGTGTCCACCCTCATAACTAGCTTGGACAATAGTTCCTCAGCCTCCTTTTTTCGCTTCCCAAGCATCCGACTGACGTATGTGGTGGCGGGTACTGCTGGCTTGGCCCCCAACTCGAAATCGGAGTCCTCGCCTATGTCATCCTCGTCCTCGCTCTCGTCGGAAGTGGATTCGTTCCAACACTTCCCCTTCCCAATGAAATCCTCGAAGTCGCTGCTCCTGGTGGAGTCATCAACCGCAAGTCCCTTTGGAACATGTCCTTTAGGAGCATTTGCCAATCTCCGTTGCCTCTTTTCCTCGTCCACACTGTACGCAATCTTGTCCATCGTGCCCTCCTCAACAGACTGCTCTTCTGGCGTCGGCTCCATCAAAGGCTCGAAGAAGGACCCCCACATGTCAATGTAGCCACTCTCCTTGCTGTCTGGAACGCGCAACAGTTGCATGTTCCAGTGAATGTAGACAAGCTTCTCCAACGACTCCGGCGAGAGGTTGTTTCTCCGCTTCGAATGGACGAAGTCCATCGATGCCCAATTGCGCTCTGCAGGTGTGGTTGTGCTCCACATTCCCAACACTCTCATGGCAATCTTCTGCAAGTCCCGGACATCTCCACCGTATAATCCCCACCAGTCTTGAGGTGCACGTTTCGTTGCTCCTTCCCTTGCACGATCTGTACACATGTTTTCATCTTTCCGGACTTTCCCTTCCACAGGCTCTCTCAAGAACTCCCACAGCTGATCCCACATGTCAACGTGCTTCTTCGAATTCCACTCGTGTCCAATCTGCCTCATCAAGAAACGCATTGCATTTCGCACGAGGGCGCTGTGCGGATCGTTCAGCCAACCGGGGTCTCTCCTTCGGGGATCAAGAAGAAAGGCAGTTGTCTGTGCGGGCTGTCTCATCATCTGCACGCGATCGGTCACCTTAGCCATAACGTCCTTCCTCTCCGTCTTCGTGAGCACGATATTTGACAATTTTCTTGCAATCATATCATTAAACTCTACAAGGTTGGTGGGACGGACTAGTTCCTTGTCCATCCTTTTCGGCAGACTGTACGCCGGCTCTATGATTGCCACAATTTTCTTGACCTCCGCCCACCAAGTCTCGGACCGCAGTTTGAAGTACACAAGGTCAGCCTTTCTCTGCAACTTCTTTCCTAACCACCTCAACGACCTCCACCTCGCAGCAAACTTCTCATCCACCATCTCGGCCAACACATGCTCCCTGTTCAATACCCTCTGCAACATCTGGTACACTGACACAAACCGGACCTCAGTCGGTCGCAGCAATGTCAAGGAGGCATCAATGGTCATCATCAGACCACTGGTTGCATGATGGTTCTTTATGAACTTGACGATGCTGTTCGTCGTCTTTATGGTGTCTCTCACTCATGCGAGATTCGCAAAAGTGCGCTCCACAAGGAACCCAAGGTATTCTCGCGACATCTTTATTTGTCCGCCTCTCCAAGATCTGGGCCGCCTTCTTGTTGACCTCCGCGTTGTCGGTGCAAATGGCGTTGATCCGATGCAGCCCGATCTCGCGCATTACCTGCTCCCATAGCTTCGCCAATGCTGCCGCGTTCTTCTTCCTCCCTGTCATGTGAACCGTGGTCACAAGAACGGCTCCTTTCTCCCCTGCTGCCAAGAAGTTCATCACCGGCCTGTTCTTGCGATCAGTCGATCCGTCTGTGATGAACGTGCAACCAGTTTTGTCCCAACACACAGTCATGGGGTTGACTGCTTTTTCAACCTTCAAGTACATGCAGTCCAACATCATCATCCGCATATGCTTGTAAGTAGGCAGCTTCACTTTCGGCCTTGCATTGGCAACTTCCAAGTACGCATCATGACGAGCCTGCGTCGTGTCGAAGTTCAGGAAGTTGAAAGCAATGTCTGCCCTGAACATTGCCTCTGCCCAAGCAATGCCCAACTTCTTCTGGGCAGCATTGTCGATCCGATTCCTGATTGTGGTTTGCTTCTTCACCACCATCTGCTGATTGTTGTTCTGCCCTTCACCGGTGTCTGCACCCCCCTCCGTCCCACCCTCATCATCTGTAGCTGCTGCACCTGTCTGCGCAGCAAGTCGTGTAGGCGACAGGCCCAGAATAGTAGGTGGCACCGGCTCTGACATAGGATCCTCTACATGAGATCCACCCCCCTTGGGCTCCTCGTCGCCCTCCGCAGTCCCGACAAGTCCTCAAAAGTTTTGCAGCAAGTACCGAGTATTTTTCTCTTTGCGGTTAACCTTGCCGCCCTTCGAGACTAGCACGTCATCGATCTCTCCGGTCTGCTTCCCTAGTTTCAGGAAATGATCAACCGCCTTCGATGATGGGCCCCTGAAAATCTTCGAGCACAGCCGACACCTCAGCCAATACTCACCGCGGCCAAGTGGCATTGCCTGTTGTCCCTGTTCGACCCACTCCCACACAACATTCTTCTTGCGCAGTTTCAAGTGTTCCTTGCTGTCCTTGGGTTGAAACAGGTGAGGTTTTGTACCCGGCGTTGCATCCTTGTTCACAACATTCGTGGTTGACTACGCTGCTTTGCTCGAGGAGGGCTTGTCAACAGCTCCTGCACTTGGTCTTTGCCCTTCCTGAGCGTGATTGCTCTAGCACCGCCACCACTGCCACCCGCCATACTGTCGCCCGGGAGGAGGAGGATTGAAGATCAAGAAGAAGAAACAGAAGAAGACGAAAAGAGGAGGAGGAGGAGGAGGATGACGAGGACGAGGAGGAGGAGGAGGAGGAGGAGGATGATTGATGATGCAAAAAAAAAAAAAGACGCTACGAGTCTATAACTAATCTGCCATTGGATATGGCATAATTGGGGGCAAAGGAGAGGATGGGGAGTAAGAAGAAGAAGAAGAAGAAGAAGAAGAAAAAGAAAAAGAAGAGGAGGAGGACGAGGAGGAGGGAGAGGAGGATTGAAGATGCAAAACAAAAAACAAAAATTTCTAAGTCTAATCTGTCGTTGGATATGGGGCGAAGAAGAAGAAGAAGAAGAAGAAGAAGAAGAAGAAGAAGAGGAGGAAGAGGAGGAGGAGGAGGATGTGCAAAAAAAAAATCGCTATGTCTAATCTGTCATTGGATATGGCGTACTTGGGGACAAAGGAGAGGATGGGGAAGAAGAAGAAGAAGAAGAAGCAGAAGAAGAGGAGGAGGAGGAAGGAGGAGGAGGAGGGAGAGGATTGAAGATCCAAAACAAGAAAAAAAAATCACTTTGTAATTTGTCGTTGGATATGGGGTGAAGAAGAAGAAGAAGAAGAGGAGGAGGAGGAGGAGGGGGAGGGCGAGGATTGAAGATGCAAAAAAAAATAAAAAAATCGTTGTGTAATCTGCCATTGGATATGGGTTGGAGAAGAAGAAGAAGAAGAAGAAGAAGAAGAAGAAGAAGAAGAAGAGGACGAGGAGGAGGAGGAGGAGGGCGAGGATTGGAGATGCTAAAAGAAAAGAAAAGAAAAGAAAAAGAAAAAAATGTTATGTCTCATCTACCATTGGATATGGCGTGCTTGGGGACAAAGGACAGGATAGGGAGGAAGAAGAAGAAGAAGAAGAAGAAGAAGAAGAAGAGCAGGAGGAGGAGGAGAAGGAGAAAAGAGGAGGAGGTGGAGAGAAGAGCAAAAAGAGGAGGAGGAGGAGGAGGAGGAGGAGGAGGAGGAGAAAAGAGGAGGACATGGAGAGAAGAGCAAGAAGAACAAGAGGAGAGGAGGAGGAGAAAAGAGGATGACGTAGAGAGGAGCAAGAAGAAGAAGAGGAGGAGGAGGAGGAGGAGGAGGAGAAGGAGAAGGAGGATTCAAGATGCAAAACAAAACGAAACCTATGTCTAATATGGCTATGGATATGACGTGCTTGGGGACAAACTAGAGCAGGGGGAGGAAGAAGAAGAAGAAGAAGAAGAATGAGGAGGAGAAGAATAAGGAGAAGAATAAGAAGAAAAAGAGGAGGAGGAGGAGGAGGAGGAGGAGGATTCAAGATGCAAAAAAAAAAAAAACTATGTCTACTCTGGCTATGGATATGGCGTGCTCGGGGACAAACGAGAGGACGGGGAGGAAGAAGAAGAAGAAGAGGGCTATTTACAGGTGACTTTCAGTCGCTTGAAGTCCGCACCTGAAATTCCTGAAATGACCTGAAGTGGCTAAAACTTGTGAAAGGGGTTTCGAGTACCCCCATCAAAATGGTTGGATGGGTGTACCCGAAACCCCTTTCAGAAGCTTCAGCCACTTCCATGGTTTCAGGTCCCCACCTGAAATTCCTGAAATGATCTGAAGTGACTGAAGCTTCTGAAAGGGGTTTGAGGTACCTCCATCCAAATGGTTGGATGAGGGTACATGAAACCCCTTTCAGCATCTTCAGCCACTTCAGCGGTTTCAGGTCCCCACATGAAATTCATGAAATGAACTGAAGTGGCTGAAGCTTCTGAAAGGGGTTTCAAGTACCCCCATCCAATCGTTTGGATGGGGGTACCTGAAACCCCTTCAGAAGCTTTAGCCACT